CACGGTCTGCGGCGAAGTTGAAGCGCGAACCCGAAGGAAGAGCGCGAGTGTAGAACCGGTACAAGACGTCGCGCTGGAGGCTGGGTTGCTCCCGTAAAAAATCGTGGGAGAGGTCGGGGAGGAGGGGAGGAGGAGCGGGGAGGACGTGGATCCAGCGGGCGGCGTGGTCGAGGGGAAGTTGAGTATAGAGCCGGCGACGGATGTCAGCTACGCTGGGGCAGCCGTCCCGAAGGATGTCGAGCCGCGCGCCGAGCCCTGCACCTGTATGGAAGGGGCCTGCAAGCCAGGACCCAACAACGTGTACCGCAGAGAGGGCACCTATGTGGAAGGTGCCATCTCCGATCGACGGACGGACGATGAACCGGTTGGGCAGGACACAGTAAAGAGAGGCTGAGAGCGACGACGGAGGGGAGAAGGCCGTGACCTGGAGAGCCAAAGAGGGGGAGGTCTCGGAGTCAACTTTAGGGACGAACCACTCTCCAGGGCCTGCCGAGGGTGGAGGGGGTGAGCGGAGGGCTGACCACCAGGGTTTGGGGATGGCATGGACGAGTTCACGCCAGACTCTTCGTCCAGAGGAGGAGTTGGCTATGGGAAATAATGAGGAGAAATGTGTAAAGGAGACCACGCCAAGTGAGTGAAAGATGAGAGAGATCAAATGGCCGACACGGACCTGCATAGATAGGAGGAAGTGTTCACGCGCGAGGATCTTGAAGGGCTTCCCGTTTGGTTTGAGAATAAAACGATTGAAGGCGGTGGGCTCACCCATTAGACACATAGGGACGAGGCGAGGTGGGGCAATGGTCGGAGTGATCTCTATCAATGCGTGTAGTTCAGCGAGGGCTCGACTCGGGATTATCGTTGGCAGAATGCCTGCTTGAAGAATGGCAGGGTGTGCTAAAAGGCAGTGTGTGCCGAAAGGGAGGCAGACGGCGGCTCTCGCTATCTCTTCTGATGGTGAGGCGCCGAGGCGACGGAGCGCGCGGTGAGCGGCTAGAGCACGGATTTGGGTGGAGGGGGCGATCGCTCCAAGCCCTCCATGGCGAGTGGAATTATACAGGAGTTGATTAGGGATGAGACGGACCGCGAGGCCGTGTTCCTTGAAACGGGAAGAAGATAGAAAGTTCCCGACCAAGACGTCTAGACGTTTGATAACGTCGGGGGAGGGGGGTTGAAAGCGGCCGGGGAAGGAGATAATCAATTTTAGGAAGACCGACGCAAGTGACTTGCGGCAGGTAGCTGTGGCGCGAAGGGCGGCAAGGAACTTAGCCATGCACTGGACGCGAGAGAGAGTCGTGGACCAGGTAGTGGCGCTTGGTTGTGCACGTTCAACGTAGATGCCAAGGATGCGGTCTGCCTCTTGAGGAGTGCGGATAGGAATGGGGCCAGCCAGAAGGATTTGTTCCGGGGCAATGTGAAAAGGGATTACTGAGCATTTGTTCCAGTCGGGGTGTTCTCCAGAGACTGCGGCGAAAGTCCCGAGGTGTAAAAGTGTGGTCCCAAGCTCTCTAACGGAGGAGAAGAAGATGGTGACATCGTCAGCATAGCAGGCCATGAGACGACGCTGCGTCGTAGAGAGGGGGAAGCCCGAGAGAAAAAGCGATAGGTAGCGCTGTAGGATTTCAATGAGATATATAAAAAGGAGGGGGGCGAGAGGGCACCCTTGTCGGACCCCGGTTCGGACAGGGAAGGTGGGTCCAGCAAGGTTGTTAACGGAGATGCAGGTGGAGGTGCTAGTATGCATGAGGCGGACCCAGGCAATGAACTGCTCGGGAAGCCCCACCATGGCAAGCGCTTGGAAGAGGAAGGCCCGGTCGACCAGGTCATAGGCCTTGCGGAAGTCAACAGTTAAGGCGAGCAGGGGGGTTTTCGTGATTGTGCTCCAGTCGAATATGTCAAGTGTATCGTTGATCGTATCGCCAGATTTCCTGCTTTTAATGAAAGCGGTTTGGGAGGGGTGGATAACCAGAGGGAGAGCGAGTTGAAGCCGGTTGGCAAGACATAAGGCTAGCACCTTGTAGTCCGAGTTCATGAGGGTGATAGGGCGGAGGTTGTCAACCATGGAGGAGCTACCCCTCTTGGGAATAAGGACGGTGCGGCCTGACAGCATTGACGGAGGGAGGGTAGTGGAGATTTGCGGTGAGGAGAAGAGTGAGAGAAATGCAGGGGCGAAGCGGGTCTTGTATTGTCGGAAGAGCTCGCCCGGGATGCCGTCCGGGCCGGGGGTTTTGCCACGGGAGAGCTAGCTTAAGGCCTTGCTAATTTCCAGAAGGGAAAAGGGAGCGTGCAGATGGTTGAGGAGTCTGGGGGGGAGTGAAGAGGGAGGGATGTGTGCCCAGAAGGCAGGATTTGGCACGCCCGGGGTTGCCCCACTGTAGAGGGACTGGAAAAATCTGGTGCATTCAGCGGTCATGGCTCGTAGATCTGAGATGGTTTGTCCATCTGGTAGTGTAAGCAATGAGATTAATGAGTCTTTGATGCGGGAGTTGAGACCTGCCAGCAAGGAGGAGGTTCCCATCTCCCTGTGGCCCTCGTCTTTGAGCTTTGCTTTGAGAGCGAGCTCGGCAGTTTCGGATGTCTCATATTTCGTTAGTTGAGTGCGGGCTTTGAGGAGCTGTGTGGTCGCATCATCGTCCACAGGGGCGAGGGCAGATTGGAGCTGGAGGTGGCTGATGAGTTGTACGAGGTGGTCTGTAGTGTGTGTAACCCGTTTGCGCTCTTCGTTAGAGAACCTTTTGAGGCTAAGGGTGAGGGCCAGTTTCCAGGAGTCCCATGCTTCGGAGGAGGGGCGCGATGGCAGGGAGGGGAGGTGAGATTCAATAATGGTAGCGACTTGGGGCCGGTGAAGGAGAGAGGAGCTGAAACGCTAAGGTCGCGGAGCCATGGTGGGGTTATCGAAAGTGAGGGTGCAGAGGGGTGCAAAGGAGTGGTCGGAAACGTCAGTTGGGGTCCAGAGGTAGGAGGTTTCAGAGGTCCGTGGGATGAATGAACTGGAGAGGTAGATTCGGTCCAGTCTGGAGGCGGGCGGGAGAGCAGTGCCAGGACTGGCCCGGCGGCCGAAGTAGGAGAATACGGGGGCGGCAGGGTGGAGTGAGCGGTACACGTCGGACAGTGCGTGCGATAGCAGGAGATTAGACACCATGGTGGCCTCGCTAAGTTCATGACCAAGTAGAGAGCGGTTACGGTCTAAGGGGGAGATCACCGAGTTAAAGTCGCCGGCGAGGATCGTGGCAGCAGCTGCAGTGGGTCGCTCCAGTGCGGGGGTTTGGATGGATCTCCACCAGATCCGACGGTCAGTGGCAGGTCTCGGCGCATAGATAGCGACGAGGCGAAGTTGCTCACGCAGAAAGTTAATATGTACGGATAGGAGGCGGCCATCGACGGAGGGGGACGGAGAGGTGAGAGATATTGCTCTGTTGAAAGATAAGACCGAGATGCCGCCGGGTTGCAGGCATGAATGGCCGTTTGAATTCAGTGCGTAAAGGGTGGGTGCGTGTACCGACGAGTGTGGGCGGAGTTGGAGTGACAGTTTAGGTAGGTTTTTTTAGAGACGTGTGTCCACTAAAATGAGAATGTCTATGTGCGGTGAGGAGGTGGAGAGCCAGCGCTTTAGAGCATTTCGTTTAACAGGCGTATTGATATCGTTGATGTTGAGGCAGCGGACTCGTAGGGGCGTTAACATTCTACCGAGTGGAAGCCCACCGCGCAGGAGGGTGCGCGGATCCACGGGCGTGGGTGGTTGTACAAGGGGGTGGGAGGTTGGTGGAGGTTTTGGGTACCAATCAAGCTGGCAGCAAGTCCGACCTGAAGTTGGTGGTGGCTATGCTTGCGTGCTGATTTTATTCGGACAGCACCAGAGACACACCAGAAGGTTGACAGATGCTGGGTGGCAGGAACAGGGTATAGAGGTGCAACATACAAGTGAAACTGGAGCAGTTGTGTGCGATGCTGGAGGTTGAGAGCTGAAGGGCTCCAGTTCTGAGTAATAACGAAGACAATAGGCAGCGTGTTATCAATATTGCTTGAATTCGGCAAAGTGAGACGTGGGAGGAGTCCGCCTCTATGAGAGCAGTGGTGGTGATGTTTCTGGGTAGTGACGAGATAGAGAGTACACCGGGGGTCGGGGTTGCTAGCGTATTCATTAGTGGAGCATGTCAACCATGGCAGCGTGTGAAAACAGTAAGCGAAGTATCGCGGGGTACGCGGACGAGGGGCAGCAAAAACAAACGTGGGGGCAGGCGGAGAAGGGGGGCTCCCCGACGGGGCCATCTCCCCTCTTCCGTGTCCGTGCGAAGGTCGGATTCGGTCGGCGGGTGCGTTGACCGAGTTGGAGTCTCTGACGAGGAGGGTGGCCACGCTTGCAGAGGGAGGTTCTAAGGCGGGTGTAAGGATGTGTTGGGATCGTTGACGGCGGTCGGGCACGCAGGTGGGAGCATGTGCAACAAACAGGCGTGGTTGCTCGATCTGGTGAATCATGTTGAGAGTGAGCTTGACACAACTGCACCTAAGGCGGGTGTCACACAAGGTGTGGATATTGGTGCTAGAATTTTGGGGATATAGCCGACTGCGAAGGTCGTTCATTGTTGGGGCTTGGTTTGGATCGTTCACGATAAGGCAGCAAATTTGAAGGTGTGTGATCATGATGGCTGGCTTGAAGCACACGCGTGCGGGGTCGCGCATCTCTACCGGGTTGGCCAGGGCCTGAGGTGGCTGGCTTGGCCGGTGCGCATGGGGGATAGGTTGGTAGATTTGTAAGGTGGGTGAGGCAGGTGTGGGGTTACTTGTTTGTTGGGGTGAGGGTATGGAAGTGGCGTACTTGGTAGTTTGCATAGATGTGCGAGTTGGGTTGAAGACTGGCAGTGAACTTGGTATTATGTGAAGTCTAACAAACACGATTGTGCGCACATGAGTTGCATATCCAAGTTCTAACTGGGTGCCTGCTAAAGGACATATCAAGGAAACGTCTAGCGTCGCCACATGGCCAAGGTGCGCAGGTCGTGGTGCTAAGGACGACCGCGGAGGAAGGCAGCCACCGGGGCCTTCTGCTGCAGCAGGGTGAGTGCGCTCCAAGGGCAAAATTCTTCCTTGGCAGCCGGGCGGTGAGCGGAGGCCTTCACGCGGGTGGCGTGCAGGTCGGATTGGATGTGCTCCATAGCGCTGTCGAGGGCAGCGCTGCAGGTGAAGTCGCAGAGAGCGCAGGTCCAGTATTCGACCCAATCGCCCAGCCCAATGTAGAGGAGGCCAGGGTCGCTGCGGAATGCGGTCGGCGCGGCATGATTCCCCAGGGTGTTGCCTGCAAGAGAGGGAGCGGTTGGGGGGAGAAGGGGGGGGCAGGGGGGGCGAGGGGAAGGACGAAGGGAGGGTTGGGGAGGTCGGGCAGGTGGGGGACGTGGGGGTGAAGACCAAGAGAGGGGGGACCGTGTGGGCTGGTTGACTGCGGGGGGAGGGAGGTGCAGGGAGGGGGGGGAGGCGCGGGGGAGGGGCGGGGGTATTCGGAGGCCCAGGCGGGGGGGGGGGGGGGGGGGAAAGAAACCAGAGGGGGGTGGAACGGCCTGCTTGAGAGCAGTGTGGGAGGGATCGGGGGGGGGGGGGGGGCTGTTGGTAGAGGGGGGGGAGCCACGGTGGGGGTCGGACAGCCCAGTCAGAGCACAGGGGGCGGTTGCAGATGGGTCCCTGAGCGGGTGGGGGGTGAAAAGAGTGAAGGGAGGGGTGAAAAAAGTGAGGGGGGGGGGGGAAAGGCGAGGTTGAGGTTAGGGGAGCAGGAGAGGAGGCGAATCGGGGGAGAGGAAGAGGGGGGGGGGGGGGGGGGCTCGGGGTGTGGGGGGAGCAGGGGAGGGAGTTGATTGAAAAGGGGGGCTGAGACAGGGGGAGGGGAGCATCTACATGCTAGCATAGGAGTGGGCAGGGGGGCCGTCTTCTGGAGAGACCGTGGGAGGAGTGACGGGAGGGGGCAGAGAGGGGGGTTCCGGAAGAGGGTGCAGTCTGCTAGGGGAGGGGGGAGTGGGGGGAGGGTGCGGGTGGGGGGCGAGCTCGTGGGAGGGCGGGGTACAGTCCTCAGAGGGGGGAGGGCGGGAGTGTTGTGGGGGGAGGGGTTGAAGTGGGTAGGGGCAGGGGGTGGGGGGGCATGGAGGAAGCAGAGGTTCCACGATGCGGAGATTGCGTGGGGAGTGGGGGAGAGAGGGGGATTCGTGAGGGTGGACGGAGGCCCGACTGTAGGGGGAGCAGAGGAGGGTACAATGGTGGCAAGGACTGAGCGTCCTGGGGGGGGGGCTTGCCTGCATGAGTTGGAGGGGGCAGGGAGGGGGGGGCGGCGTGGGGAGGGCAAGGGGTTGAGTGGGAGCCCCACGACATGGGAGACCGGGGGAGGGGGCGCTGGAAGGGAGGGGTGGGTGACAGACGTGAAGACAGGGTGAGGGGGGGGGAGCTGGCGCAGGGGGAGGGATGAGAAGGGAGGGAGCGAGGGGAGTGGGTATGGGCAGATTAAATGTGGGGATGGCAGGGTTCCAGGCGGCCGTGCGGGGGGGGATGCAGCAAGGCAGTGGGGGGGGGGGGGGGGACTCTTAGGGAGGGAGGGACATCGGGGGGAGGGCGCGGGGGTTGGAGGGGAACAGGGAGGTTGCGGGGAGGGGAGAGGGTAGACCGAGCGGGAAGCGGTGAGTGGATGGGGGGCAGCGGGAGAGCAAACGAGAGGATAAAGAAGGCAGGTGAAGGCCGTGCAATGGCAACAGGGAGGGAGGGTGTTTGCGGCAAAAACAAGAGGAGCAGGTTTCGTACCATTTGCCTGCTGCAGCTGAGCGATTGAGATCGTGTTCTTGTTCGTGAGGCGCCCCCGCCGGCGGGCAGCAAAGGCCTCGTGGTCCGGTGCGCGGTGGTTGTTACCGCACAGAGCGCACACGTGGCAGGAGAAATTGAGCAGCATGGCTGGCTTGTTCTCCTCCAGCAGAATTTCGGATGGGATTATTTCGAAGTTCGGGTCATCGGGGGTGGCGACCGGGAGCCCTGCGAGGTGGGTGAAAAAGGTGTTCTCATAGGGGTCGGAAGCACGGTGAAAGTCAGTCAGGTCCGCAAGCCAATGCGCACCGTCTTCCTCGGTGGTCCCGAGGAGAAAGGCGCGGATCTCCTCCGGATCGATCTCCAATGGGACGTTTCGGATAGACAGGGTGGGGGCGCCGGCTGCCTTTGCTGCGGTGAAAGCTTCAAACTTATCAGCAAAAACTTTCAGCATGACGGGGCGGGAGTTGGAGACTTTCAGCATGAGGGGAAAAAGCTTGCGAAAGACCGCGGCATCTTCCTGCGACGGCCAAGAGAAAAGCAGGCGACCGTACACGCGACGACCCACACGGAGGGGTTCGCCGACGGTGTGCTCAAAGGGGGGGATGGTGCCCGAATCGAACATGAAGCCGCACAGCTGCGCGTTGATCCCGGCAAGGATTTCCGTGCGGTGCGATTCCAGACCGGCTTCCGGGAGGAGGAGCGTGGCTACCACGCGGCGGCGAAGGGGGAGGAGCATCGGGGTCGCCGTAGCAGTGCGCGCGCGGCGGAGGTTGCGAGGGGATCCGCCAGGCGTAGGTGAGGCAAAAAGAGAGGCGGGCAGCGCGGGGGCCGGGTTGACGCCAGCGGCGACTGATGCGTAGGCAGCGGCGTGGAGGGCTGGGGCGTTGGGGGCGGCAGCAGTTGCTGCCAGAGTGGGCGTGGGGCCGCGCGAGGGTGACGCGGGAGCAGCGGCAGCACGGGGCATGGGAGACCGCGGGGGCTGCGGTAGGGCCGAGTCAGAGGAGGTGGCGGGGGAGTTAATGCTGGTATGGCCTGCGCCAGCATCCGTGCAAGTTTTTTTCGCCGCAGGATGGTCGGGAGAGCACGTGATTTCGTCGATTAGCCCTTCGGGGAGGTCCTCCACCAAGAGATCCTCACCGGACTCGGCGAAGGCTTCCTCTTCGGCGGCGGTCATGGTGAGATCGGTGTTGAAGGCCTGCTTAGAAATAATGCAAAGTGGGAAGGAGGATTGTTTGGGGTTGGGAGACAAGTAATGAGTGAACGGCGAGGAGTTGGGTGAGTTACGTAGGTCACGAGCGAGAGAAGGCCCGTGAGGGGTCACGTGGGCGTAGGGGGGGCAGAGACGCAGCGAAAACGAGCGGACGTGAGGCGGTGGAGGCACGGCTCTGATGGGGGCACGATGGGGGGGGGTTGGGAGAGGGCGGTCGGAGGGGGAGGTACCGAGAGAGGCTGGGGCAGCGTGGCTGCTGCGGGAAATGGGGCGACGTGGCGAGGGTATTGAGGGCCAGCTGTGGGGTTGGCGCCTAATTGGCAACCCGAAACCCGGGACCGTTCGAGGGTCCGAGCGCTCGCGCGCAAAATAAAATGGCGGCCTAGGCGGCGCGCCGAGTTTTCGAGCCATGTGAAGGGCTCTGCCGGAGGTGGCAAGTGAGTGAAATACGGAGAATATGCAGCAAGGTTGCCAAGGGGGACAGGAAGTCCGGGAGTGCTGGCACTAGGCAAGGCATGAAAATACGGAGAGAGGAGGAGGTGGGGTGCACGGGAAGTTGGCGGGACGAAAGCAGGAGTGAAGGCGAGCAGAAAAACGGGAGCAGATTGAGGGTTAGCTGTGTTCCGTGACTTGGGTTTGTCGTGGGAGTCTTTCGTGTTCACTGAAAAACGGGACATCTTGGGTGGGGGCCGATCTGTTGGCAAGGGTTGGGAAGAAAAACGAGCGAACTTCCTGAGGGGGGGAGGGAGGGAGATTGGATGGGCGCATGAAAGAGGAGGGTGAGAAGTGGGGGTTGGCTGGCACAGGGGATGGAGTTGAAAGATAGAGTGAGCGCGATGAGCCACGGGAAAGGTTGGAATGGGGAATGCGGTACTTACCCGGGGGGGAAGTTGACGTGGAGCGCTGGGGGAGAGATGGGGCCCGCTAGTGGTCCGTTGGATGAAGGAGTGAACCGCAGGTGACAAATGGTAGCGAGGGCCGGGGAGTGGGAGGCTTCCCTGCTGTTGTATGGACGAAGTGGGGTGTAGCAATGTAGAAACGAAAAAACTAAAAAAGAGAGACGATAGTGGAAACTTACCTGGAAACGAGGCTGAGTCGTGTAGGAGGAACCTGCCTAGGTGGGACCGTGGGTGGGGGAAGAATGGAGGCATGGAGGCATGGAGGAATAGAGGAGCGGGGACTTGGAGTGGGAATGTGTGTGGTTAGAAGGGGGGATGAGCCCAAGGCCAGTATCCTTCCAGTGACCAGGAGGAACAAATTCCAAATCCAACCACCATCTACAGTTCGACTTGAAACGTGTGATGGATGCGGTTGAGTGCCTGACAGAGCGGCATGATAACGTTTTACATCGGTTGGTTTTGGTTCTGAGAGGGTTCTAGTTGGGGATGAAACCGAGAAACAAAAAATCGCCAGTCAACTCGAGGTCGTTGGGGAGAAAAACGGGTGTACCCGACTGGCCATTTTCACACCTATAACAAATTGCACGTTATGAATCTCAAATGTTGCAGTGTACGTCTAAAAAAATCTTCCATATTTACTACAGTATACTTCCATTCCAAAACCGTCCCTTCACTTTGAAACGTGCCAAATAGTACAACCTTTCTCTTGCACCATATCACTATCACACACCCTAGTAGGGAGTTTCGCCAATGAAGTTGCCCGGGGGCGAGTAGTTGCACACCCAAATGCATGAGCCATCAGGGCATTGTGCAGAGGAGCAGCCGACATGAGTGGTGTCCCGCCAAAACACCTGCGTGTAGTGCTCACACATCTTGCCTACCGCGCATTTATCGGGAATCCGGCTGGGGGTCCAATCTGCCTTCTCCTCCACCCATGACTGCACCGCCCCAAGGTCTCTCAAAGTTACCCGTGCGGAATGATGTGTGAATCGTATGTGTTGGGGTACAAAATGCCTAACCCTAACAACTGTACCCCACATGGCACAACTCACTACTGACTACCATATTTTGACACACCCCCGTAGACTAAGTGAGGGGTGCCAAGAGCCAGTAACCACACAAGGTCACAAGACCAGTCCAAGAAACACCACTACACAAAGCTCAGGTTGGATCACAAAGTCACCACACAGTCTAAGCACAAGCAAGTAGTCACAAGGCCAGTTCAAGAGTTTACAAATATATATGATACAAAGACAAGTAAAACATGAGACAAGAGCCAAGACTACAGTAACCAAGAACTCATCTCAACAAGGCCTAACTGCACACAGAACCTGTGGTGGTCACCAGGTGGAAGAGCCTTGGTGAATACGTCTGCAGTGTTGGCCCCCGAGGCCACGAACTTCAAACGTGCCTGTCGACGTTGCTGCAACTCTCGAAAGTGAAAGTACCTGACGTCAATGTGCTTCACTCTGCTCTCCAGTCAAGGCTCTTGACACAAGAGATTCATGGCCTTGTTGCCAGCGAACAAGGTCGGCGCAGAGCTCGACCGCTCACCAAGGTCAGTAAGCAAGAAGGTCAACCAGCGAAGCTCCTGCACAGCCATGGCTCTGGCGTAGATCCCTGCCTTGGAGCTAGACTGCGCCACAAACGAGGACCAAGTAGACCTCTATGACACAGTGCCAGAGCCCAAGCTGAAGCAGTACCCTTGAGTAGACCTCTGGGTCTCGACGTCGTCGGCGTAAGCAGATTCGAAGTGACCGGTGAGCACAATTGGCTGTATCCCTCCAAGCACAAGCCCCATGCCTGATGTAGTCGCAGATACTCCGCCACCCTCACAGCAGCTCTCCACTGAATAGGGCGGTGCCTCCTAGTCGCAACAAAGTGAGCTAGGATGCTGAGAGGAGGCAAGGTCTAGGCGGGTACAAGTCATCAGGTAGATGAGGCAGCCCACCAACTCTGCGTAAGGACCACTGGACTCAAAAGGCTCATCAGGATCAGGAGCAGTGAGTCGGTGGTCAACGGCAAGAGGAGTGGAATGTGCAGTGGAGAACTGAAGCTAGAACCGCTAAAGGACCTGCTGCACCATATGTGAGTGAGTCAGAGTGAAGGTGCGAGCGGCTCTATCCCTGGTGATCTGCGAGCCAAGATAGCGGCACAGTTCACCAAGGTCAGTGCATGTGTGTCTCTTCTGCAGTTCGGACTTCACCTCACCCAGAGCAACTGTGTGTGCAGTGGCGAAGACCAAGTCATCGACGTACACGAGAACAAAGAAAGGGATGGGCTCACGACGAATAAACAACAATGGGTCAGCAGTGAACGGTGCCAAGCCAAGGTCGGAGAGTGTCGAACGAAGAGTGTCGTGCCACTCATGGGGTACCTGGCGTCGTAGAGTGTTCGTCCCAGGCTCCACTGGGTCCCAGGCGGGAAGTTGCCAGTGAAGCCAGGAAGGCGGCACAACCATATTTCCTTGTGCAGGCGGCCCTGAAGGAAGGCAGCGGAGAAGTCGAGGGAGTGAAGCTCGTAGTCTCTTTGAGCCACAACATGAAGTAAGACCAGAAGAGTGGTCATCTTCAGTGTGTGTGCAAAGGTGTGAAAGAAGTCAACTCCCTCACATTGTCTGAAACCTCTAGCCACGTAGCACCCCTTGAAGACAGGCGGATATCCAGGTGGCCGCTTTTCCTTGAAGATTCACATGCCATCGACTATGTTCGCCCAGGAGGGGAAACTGCACTGACGTAGGTGCATGTGGAACTGTATGAAGCCATCTCTGCGTCCATAGCAGCTCTCCACTAAGAGGCCTACGGCCCTAACACTGCCTCACAGTACGTGCGAGGGGTCGGTCTGTCAAGGGGGTCAGGGTCTCCCTCAGGGGCTAGGAGCATGGCACAGAGATGAGGAGAAGCGGCCGACAGGAACTCCAACTCAAACTGCCTGTCCTCTAGGACGTCATAGCCAAGGGCAGACTCACCTCCGACGGACAGAGGACGGGTAGGAGGAGCAGCCACCACCTGGGTGGCGTAGTCAAGGCGGCGAGTAGTAATGAAGTGAGTGGCAGCGGCAGTAAGGACTGAGACAGACGACAGAGATGCACGAGGGTCCGTAACAAGCGAGGAGAGAACATGTGAGAGAACAGGACGAGATGCGCGGTAGTAGTCAGTGATAGGGGTAGAGGTGGAGGCTGTAAGGGACGACTCAGGATGTGACGGGAGAACAGACTGAGGCGGAGAAGGACGCGGACTCGAACGAAGTAAAACTATGCGGAGGTTGTCAGAAGGAGACGAGGGGCATGCACAAGCAGGACGACGAACTGTCCAGTCGTGCGGGACAACAGGAGGAGACAACTGTGACTGAGGAGGAGACAAAACAGTCGGAGACGAGTCCAGGGGGGGGAACGTAGGACAGTAAGCAGGAGGAGACAGTGAATGGACTGGAGGAGAGGAAGGAAGACCAAGGGCCCAAAGGCCACTCACAGGTGGAGACAACTGTGGTAAAGCCGGTTGCTGCTGCTGCTGCTGCTGCCGCTGCTGCTGTAACTCATGCTGCTGCAGCTCCTGCCGCTGTTGCTCCAGCTCCAGCCTCTCCTGCGCCAACCTCTCCTGCTCCTTAAACTCAAGCCGAAGAAGAGCTTGGTGCCGCGTCGGGTAGCGGTGGGGAGGTGGAGTAGGTGCCGCAGTAGCAGTGTCTCTAGCGCCAGTCTCCTCAGAACTAGCACCTCCAGCTCTAGCACCCCCAGAACGAGCACCCGCAGAACTAGCACCTCCAGTGCCAACTCCTCCAAGTCCAGCATCCCCAGTACTAGCACCTCTAGTGCTAGCTCCTCCAACTCTAGCACCCCCAGAGCTGGCACCTCCAGTGCCAGTACCCTCAACTCCAGCACCCTCAGAGCTAGCACCACCAGCTCCAGCACCCTCAGCTCCAGGACCTCCAGTGGCCGTGCCTCCTGTCGTGCGACCGAGAGGAGAGGGGTAGAGTGGGATACACCTGACTGGGCAGGACCAGGGGGGGGGGGTGAGTGTACCGGAGGAGCGGGATCAGAAGGAGGAACGGGGGCGAGAAAAAGTGGAGGGGGGGGAACCGGGAGACATTGACAGAGTACTTGGTGTAGTAGGACACAGACTCGTCAAAGCGGACGTCACGGGAGTCAAGGAACTGGTGAAGGGGCGGGTGGTAGAAGGCAAAGTCAGAGGAATCCTTTGTTTTTTTTTTTTTTTTTTTTTAATTTATTTATTTATTTTATTGATGGAATACACCGGAGATGAGCAAGTGTATAAAATCAACTACAGTCGTAACTGTGCTTGAGGGGAACGGCATAAGCCGAACACCAGAGGGTACTTAGACAGGGCCACGTGCCCTACGCTGCTTGGACCAGATGGCTGCGAAGCCATTCGTCCACTTCCATTTCATCCCATCGACGGTCGTGATGTGTCCAAATAGACGCTGTTCGTCCGCCAACAGTCTCGCCAACTTGCTCTTCCGAATGCCGCCCGCCCCTTTTCGCAGTTTCGTCCGTTG